CAAAATTAATATTTTTCAATGATATTCAGGCAGCGCCGAGTTTTGGAGTCGAAAAGTACACTGTGTAAATTTTGTTGCAAAATTCCAAATAGTTTTTTTTTTTAATTAACAATTGAAAATTTTTGTAGTGTTTTGGGAATTTTAATTTTTGTTTGAAAGTAAGTGTCCGAGGAAAAAATTTTTTGGGTGTAGATTTAAGAAACATAAAACTATACAATGAAATTATTTGCACTACCATTTTTTTTTTGCTTTTCAATAATTTTTTTTATGAACAATTGAACATTTAAACAATTTCTGCGCCTCGTGGATGAAAATTTTTAACAACAACATTTGCACGCGGGCAAATAAAAATTCATTCCGACCAAACTATATCGAAATGCACGCATTTTTTTCTTATAGATATATGCAGAAATGTTTATTACATAAATTGTTGTTAAAAATTTTCGTCCACGAGGCGCAGAATTAAATTAAATTATCCATTATTCAAAATACTAGAGAGTACGTAAGAAAAAATTCTCTCAAATTTTTTTCAAGTAGAGAAATATTCGAATTTTAAACTTTCAATGTCCACGGTTGCATTTTGAATATTATAATTTTTTTAAATGCGTTGAAAAGGACAAGAGAAACTGGATCTACATTCATGCGAAAAACTATTTCTTAGCACATGCTATTTTGGCAAGAGGGACTTCATCTTAGATTTTTTCCACAAATTATAACAAAAATTTACTCCAGCTTTTTCTAAAAGGTAAATAAAGGCTCTATGTACATTTTTCTACATTTTTAGTGCCTAATTTCAAAATTGCCAAATTTTGAGTTGTGTGCCGATATATTTCTGAGTATTCTGATTTTCATTCACCATTAGAATTAACTAAATTAATTAAGTAAACAAGTATTTATTTACGTGTTTCCATAGTATATCTTTCAAGTTTAAACATTTTTAAATTACACGAACTCATTTATTCAAACCATGTGCCACAATCGTGTTTTTCGTGATAGCAACTTTTTGCTGGCACAAATTTTCCAGAAAGAATTTGCAACTTCTCCCCAAGAGAACTGTCACGTTGCGCTCTCAATTTTTGAGTGATGGAATATTTTTATGGTCTGCGCGAACACGATTTGATCTAAAATCATGATAATTCGTACATACATATTTTTTGCTCGACAAACAGAACTTCTATTAGAACGACTTTTAATTTAAGTTTTGCTATGGAAGTGTCATCTGACAGCAAAATTAAAAACATTCATATGTACAAGAGTGGACAAAAAAGAGGATACATGCATATATTAAATATGTATATGTGACAATATTTTTTATAAACAAATTATGTATTTTTAAATGTTGGGAAGGAAGTAGGTTTATACTAGTACATAGGCCGTATAGATATTGGAAGAGTATAAGTATACCTGCTCTAAGCATTAAGTTAAGTTATTGTAAGTCAGGCATCGGGTGATTTGTGTCTATACCATAAGTGACAGAGTTATGGGTCTAGCCCTTAAGGCAAGACCGCCAAGGACACCATCTTGTAAATAGTTAGCGGAATAAAGAAACTTCTTTTTGGTTGTTTGTGTTTCCGTCAGGGTAGGAGTATGATGTATTGTGGAACGATTTTCCGTCGAAAAATGACACTGAAGATGGCACAACGCCGAAACCGGTTTGTCTCCAAAGCAAATTTGACAAGGGATGACGAATAAAGAAACGTTCTATATTTGATAGCGAGAACGAGGGACGTGTTTTAGTAACCACTTCTACATATTACAATATGTATGTATGTATAGCCCAGTGAAATTAGACTTTATCTAAAAAAAAATTGTAGTAGCGATTTTTTGATGCAGTTTACTTTCATTTGACACGTAGATCATGGATCCACAGTCTTTCCTCCCCTAAATTTCATATGGCAACATCCCGCTAACTTGGATTTTAGTTTGTTTGGCTTTTTGCGATTTCCAAACTTATTTTCTTTCTTTCGTAAAAAACGGTTCAATACAAATTTGTGAAGAAATTAAATATTATTAATCAACGCGATTTCCTAGCGTCTTGATATTTTCACTTTTTTAGTTTTAATTTTAGTTAAATTCAATGGGCTATAAAACTGCACACCTAGAATTTTTCTAGAAGTTCTGAATAAAATGGTTAAAGTTTTTGGGTGTAATTGTTAAAGTTTGTTGAATTTTTATAAAGTTTGTACAAAGTTTTAAATGTGGATTTATGTATGTGTTGGTGGTTATGTAATGTGCTAGACTGTTATAAAAAAAAAAAACTATAAACATTAAATAAACAAAAGAAAAAAACCAAAATTGGTCAAAATGTCACTTAACTCGTGGAAACGAAAATGCAACTGTGGTAAACTTTTGCAATGAATTTCTAACATTAAGTAACAAACTCGAAACACAACCTCAACTTCTGTAATTAAACATACCCACTTTTAGCTTTTTTTGTCACCCGCTCCATTTAATATATAACACAATTTTATTAAAACCAGATGAGTTCTACTATATACATATTTTTCTTACCAAACACTTGAATTATGAATTGCA